TTTTCAGAGGATATATAAATATATAAATACTAGGACCCTGAGAGGCATTGTTGCTGTTGCTGGCTGGTTGATGGTTGAATGTTCTTGGTTGCTGCTTGTCAAATAGTCTTGTGCCAAGAAATGAAAAGAATTTAGATATCCTGGCAGGGAAGATAAAACTTGACCCAAGGAGTTTGACACCTGTAGTCAGCAGGAAGTAGTCTAACAATAATGCCACCCCTTTTTCCTCTCTATCCTTTTTTTCTCTCCTAACACTAATCTAGTGTTAGAGGTTAGTAAGGGGGGAGAAGGGTGGAAGAGAGAAAAAGGAGCCCACAAAGTAGCAAATGCCGACTACAGGTTCTACCACACCATTCTAATCAGTCATGCCTGACTGGACCTGTTCAAACAATGATGCTTTATCTGCAGAAAGGTGTGAGAGTACACCATAGCAGCCTTCAAATGCCCAGTGCGTGCAGGCCAAAAACACTCACCACAAAATAGAGGGTAATTTTGTGACTGTCCCTTAGACAACAAGGAGTTGCAGAAGCTCTTTGACCTTATGAAAGGCCCAGAGATCACTGCATCAGGGGAGGATGACCAACCTGGATAGCTGGAGGCTTATCATGTGTTCAGGAGAGCTGAAGAGACTACAGAGGCCATTGTCACAACAGTAAACGGAAATGCATTTCCAATTGGCTTTGACATAATGACCTTTAATCATCCCACTGAATTAATAATGGTACACAAATCCAAGGGTCTAAATTTAGCACTAAATTGCATACACTTTAAGTGAATTCATGCATGGTCTGTTATTAGCTCCTTGTCTGGATCACACATGCCTGGGAGAGCTGAGTTGAAGTACACAGATAGGACAAGATTCTTGACAAGTAAAGGAGAATATGGTGCAAAAAAAAAAATGCTCCCAGAGAGGAAACGGGTTCCAGTGTCCTATGACAGTTAACTCTTAGCAACTATTCCACCACATAGGAACGGTCACCCATGAGGTCCCAGTCCCTTCACTGATCCCTGATTTTAAGATGGACATATGATTCTAACTAGGTCAATAAGAATATTAGAATGTTATTAGTATATTTGCTGTCTCCCTCAAAGGAGATGCGAGAAAGGGATGTTCCCTCTGCTCCTTTGAGTAAGATGCCTCCCTAGAAAGTAGGCTTACTGTAGAGGAGTAGACCCTAGTTCAGCAGTTGAAAAAGAAGACTCAGAGGAAAAGGGGAATGAATGAATCCACTGAACAGGGACTTTAAAGGCCACAGGAAGAAGAGGCATTCTTCCCACAGTCCCAAAGTATGGGAAGAAGCATGCTTAGGTTCTGGCCAGCATCCCAAATAAAGACAAGAGAGAGGAAGCAGAAAAATTGCGTCTTAGAAAGATGGGCAGGTCCAAAGAAGATCATGCTGGTTGGTAGGGATGGAGCTAGGGAGCAGGAATTCTGGGAAGGAAAAGTACAGTATCATATTAAAGGGATAATTATTCCACCTAATTTTTTAGCAGGTAGATAAGTGTACCTTCCTGGGGTAGCCCTGCCTGCCTCAGCAGTTGTCCCTTGGGTATCAAGAATTGCTATCATTAAGAACAAAATAAAACTACATCCTGGTCCATGTTTAAAGAACTTACATGCGTTAGGAACCAGGATTGCAGCTAGTCAGCCTTTCAGTTCACCCACTTCTTTGATGAAAGAGGAAGGCTTTAGAGAAAACAAATGATACGTTTTTCAGAGAAGCTGAAGTCCCTTTCATAGCCTCTTCTTACATGGAAAGAACTGGACTGGGCCCTCCCCAGGATGAAACTGTAATCGAGAAGTTGGTTGCCACCATCAGCACTGAGCTGTGTAGCGGAGGGTGGCTTTGGGAGGAAAGGGCATGGTCTTTGAACTCAGACAGTACCTGATCCTTGAGAGAAAAAAAGGAGAAGGAAAGTGATACTAAAGTGGAGGTGACATGTCAGATACCAAGGCTCTCTCTACACTCTCTGGAGCAGCAAAAGCCAAAGGGTTTCTTCACAGTTCATATCAACTACAAAGTGGCTGGAGCTAGGCCAACAAGCTTTTCAGTTATGCTTTATTATGCTGTGAAGCACATCAAGAGAAACTCATCAAGGACCAAGGATGGGTGGGAGAGCCCACCCTCTTAAGAGCCAGCGCACACCTTTGATCCAAGAGAGGCAGAGGAAGGCAGATCTCTGTGGTCCAAGGCTGGCCTGAGCTACAGAATAAGACCCAGGATAGCCAGGGCAACATAGAGAAACCTTGTCTTGGAAAAACAGAAAACAACAATAAAAAAGAGCCAGCCCATGTAGCTCAAGACAGAGATATCAAAAATTCTACATGAAATCAAGAAGCATAGCTAGCGCTGGCCAGATAAACAGCGACAGCCTACAGGAAAAGATAATACAGCAGCCTCACTAAAGCAAGAAAGAGAAGTATAGGCTTCAGATCCTACAGCAAGGCAGGGGTTGGGGTTTGGGAGGTTGTTAATACTAAGGATTAACACCTCCCCCTCTTTGGAGGAGGAGGCAGAGGCTTTAAAAGCAACTGATTTTAAACTTTTTTTTTAAACGCACACTGCTGAGTCTTAAGATATTCGTGAGCTTTTTAAACACTGGAAGTGACCCAAGTCAGGGACACTGAACTGAGCTGCCATAAGGAAAGCTTTACAGCAGGTAGCAGGCAAAGAACATTTTGACAGAATACACTCAGTAGCAATTACAGGAAAAAGAAAACCCTTTCATGTTTGTGCCCGGATACATACAGACAAACATCCTCACTAACCTGTTCTTATGTCAATATTTGCACTTCCTGAATGCAAGGTGAAATGTCCCTCCACAGAGGTTCCGATGGAGGCAAAGGGTGGGGCACAGTGACAATGTGATGAGGTCTTAGGGTTAGGGTAAAGTCTTCATCTAATCACACTCTTCATGAGCAATTCCACTTGTCACAGAGGTTGCTGCAAAAGTAGTTGACCTTGTGATATGGTTTATGACTCAATGGCTGTTCTTATACCTGCGTGAGGTAAATGAAGACTTGAATACAACCAAATTAAGACTGGGAATGGAGAACCAGAGAATGGAGAACTACTGTGTGGTGGCCCTTGGGAGCCAACCCTTACCTATTTTTCCTTCCTTTTCTCTATACATTAAAAAAAAAGTTATTCCAGAAGTTCTTTGACTTATCAGAGCTGATAGAATGCCCAACATCTGAACTCTGGACTGTGGATCATAAGGTGATACCCATTTTCTTTCCCAGCCACTGAAGTCTCAGAATAAATAAATCAGGATGAGGAATGACATGTAAAATAATTCCACATTTATAGTTTTCTATGCAACCTTTTCCAGGGGCCAGTGTTCCCAGGTGGACAGACCGGGAGGAGTCCACCAGCTGACACTTGGGCTCAGGGGTCAGTTCCTCATCCTTAGGTAAACTGTGGTCAGGGGTAAAGATAGCTCCCTCCATTCCCCCTGATCCAACACTTCCTTTCCCAGAGGGTCTGAAAAGTGGCGCCAGACATTCTCAGCATTCCTGTCGTTCCCTAAGGGCTGAGGCAACTCTAACCCTTATGTCCTCAGGCACCTGAGGAACTGCTCTTCTGTGGGGAGCTGAGTGCAAAGACAGGAGAAAGCCCTAAAGGAAACACAGGAGGGTAGAAAGTTCAATAAACAAGCTTGGTCTAACCTGCAACGCAAGGTTTCCCTGCTCTGCAGTGACTCACCTAGGGACGAAAAGGGAGCTGAAAGTCCTCAAATAAAGATTTTTTTTTAAGGTAAAATAACTTGCTCTGTGGTGTGTGTGTGTGTGTGTGTGTGTGTGTGTGTGTGTGTGTGTGTGTGTATCTGTCTGTCTGTCGATCCATCTGTTGGTCGGTTGGTCGGTCTGTGTATCCTGTGGGTGTGAGGAAGGCTCAATGAATCTCAAGTGTTTCAGTCAGAGTACTAAAGCAACTACTGCAGCTTTGGAGCCCCTGTGCTGGGCGCTCTGAGGAACTTTTCTCCTCCTGCTTCTCGCCTCAGCCCTCCCTCCCTTTGTCTTTCCCGTACACAATCGGGGAGTTTGCTTTGGTCAATTGGAGAATTGGAAGGTGCCCCTGTATTTCAGTCAGTAAAACTACACACAGCCGCTAGAGGGCAGTGCCGATAGCAGTCTCCAGATTTCCGCTCTCTCCACACTCAGCCTGGCCCATCAGCACATCCTGTAACAGGATGTTTCTGAACTCTTCCTTCAATTCTCCGCGTAAATAAACAACTCAGGCTGGATACACCCAGACTCACATCCCAGTAACCCCCTGCGGATCACGCAGGTTCAAATTCCTGGTAAATCCAGAGCTTTGCCTAATTTTATAGCATACCATAATCAGAGTTTAAGCTTTGGAATTTCTCTCAAATGCTGTCCCTGAGAGCTAAGAGAACTTTGCAGAGAAAGGCCAAGTTAAATGATCTAGGGTGAATAAAATTAAATTAAAAAAAATTATCTAGGGCAGCTTTAATTGTACAAGATTCTGTTTTGTTTCTGCATTCAAGTTCTCGGCGTTTGCCTTCGTCAAAAGCAGAGAAGCTCAGCTGGGCAAAATCTGTAAGATTACTCGTGTACACAAAACACGGGCACGGAGAGCCAAGGATGTTTGTCTTGGAATGAGTATAAACTGAGGTCGGCTGAGTCTGTCTCAGTGGACCAAGAAAAGTTACAGAAGTCTTGGGCTCCATGGGGCAGAATTTCTTTCCCAGATAGTTCAGCTTAGGGTTTAGGGCCCTTCCTAGGAGCACCCCAGCGTTAGTACTAGAGTAACTGTGAGTACTAGAAGTAACCGTCTAAACCAGTGGGTTTCAGCCTGTGGGTCGCGACCCCATCGGCAACTCACTATCTTCAAAGCTGTTTACATTATGATTCATAACAGTAGCAAAATTGCAGTTATGAAGCAACAACGAAGGTAATTTTATGGCTGGGGAATCGCCACAACATGAGAAACTGTATTAAAGGGTCACAGCGTCGAGAACCAACAGACACTAACCTTGGGGCTGAAGACCTGAGTGAAGCTGAATCAGGCGTGAAGAGGACGCATGTCTCAGACAGAGCTTTCTGGACCCTAGCACTGGTGTTGTGCGTCTTTAGACAGTGGTATTTACTGATACCAAGCTTATCATTGGTTTCTCAGCAAAGGCAGATAAGGTGAGGGAAATGTTTGTAGGCAGAGATTTCTGGAATTTCCCCACAGTGCTGAAATAGCATCCAGAGTTCAAGAAGGCCATATTTGGACAATGATAAGTATGTTATTTTCTTCTATCTTTTGTGTTTTCACTGCTATATAATAACATTTAACCTTCAGTGCTTTGGTCCTAGAACTGTCCCCAAAGCCTCTGGTCTCCAAACACAGGAGATCCAGACCCTCCAAGGGTCACGGACATATACTATGTTTCCTAAGAGAAAACTAAGGTAGAGGCAATGCTTACTGAAATCAGTTAGGTGGGAATTCTAGGTTAAATACTAAAATGGCACAGAAGTCTTCCAGGGCTGGGTAGCACTTTCACTGCAGGCCTAGAGAAAGAAAGTACAGAATAGCAAAGATGGAAGTGTGTTGAAGGAGGCTGCCCCGGAACTTGAACCAGAGGCTTTCAGGGATTTACCCCTGACCCAGCAAAATCTGAGATAGTGTTGACAAAGGGCGGAGGTGTTCTGGAGAGTCTGTGGCCACCGCCCTCACTCACCTGCTCACGACCTCTCAGGCCTTGTCAGGAAGACGTCAACAAGACCTTTTCTTTACTGGCATTTTGCTTACAGGCCGGTGTACCCCAGGAAATCAAGAAACAACCACCTCTTCTCTCCCACTTCACCTTTACAAATCCCAGATCTGGCACACTGGGAAAAATAAAAACAGAACTAGGGGAGAGAGAATAAACAGTCCGTGAAGTCCCGGTAGGAACTTGGCTAAATAGAGTTGTTTCGGTACATGACAAGTTGGCCTCGGTCTGTGTTCTTCTGAATGTATAATTGATGGGGCCCATCTGTTTCCAGTAAAGGAACTTTTGTTTTGCCTTTTTTCCTCTCTCTCTCTCTACTTTCACGCAGAACGAATGGCTTTCTCATTAGCAAGTGTTCACAGGCTCTCAGAAAATGGGTTTAGAAGGGAAGGTCCCCCTCCCCCACACCCTGCCACCGCATAGACTGCCAGCCGAGTGGAGGCTCTGAGCAGGTTAAATGAGAAGTCCTGCTGGTCTCTTGCAGGGAGCAGCTCAGGTGAGACTACTGAAAACCACAGGACGGTGCAGCCATTCCAACCACATGGCACGCTCGTGAATGTGTGGACGGGAAGCCAGAATGCAGCTTCCCACCCCAGCCCCTTGTAGCTCCTGGACTTCTAGAAGCAGAGCGAAGTAAAGAAAAGGAAAGTCTTTGAGGTCTCCGAGCTCATTCTGCAGGTATTTGTTGAGAACTCAGTCTATGCCTCAGGCATTGGAGTGTACTAATGATTAAGATCTAGCAGAGCACAAGAAAGCCTAGCTTAGTTCTTGCCTTTACAAAGAAACACACCAATTCAAAAGCGAAACAAACAAGCAAACAAAAAACCAAGAAAGAAACTTTACGCAATTTTAATTTCACAGGCACAAAGGCAAAAGGGAGGGAGGGAGGGAGGGAGGGAGGGAGGGAGGGAGGGATGCATCGGTGAGGATGAAAACTATGAGAGTCCACCCTGATCTGCTGAGGGAAGTTCCTCAGAAAGCTGGAGAGTCACCACATAGTTCAACAATTCCACCTGTAAAGGAATGCCTACGAGAACTGGAAGCATGATCATACAGCAACTAAACGCATGGATATTTAACCAACCCCCAAACAACCCAAAAGTCCTACCAGCTGATAAAGAAGACTGCGTTCTGTAATTACAGGCCAGTGTACCCGATTTAGTCATTAAAGGAGGACTAGAGTGCCGATGCATTTGATGACATGGGTTAACCCAAAAACATGCTCAGTGAAAAAAGTCAGACAAACTCACAGCAAATACTCTTTATAGAAAATGCCCAGACAAGGGCAAAACCACAGATAAAAGTAGATCAGCTGTTGTCCTATAATTGGGAAAAAAGTAATGGAGAAGAGGATATTAGTGGATGGATATGTGATAACTGGAGCTTGACTGAAAATGTTCAGAAATTATATTTGATGACTGCACAACCTTTTGAATCTACTAAAATATATACTATATTTTAAAATATATATACTGAATTATATATATTTTAAAGGGGACTTTAGGTTAACTAGCACTGGATAAAACAAGGTAATTCCATCTCATGTGATATGTGTCATATTAGAACAGAATGCTGGTTCTGCATAGCTGAACTAGAAAAAGAAACTCAGAAAGTACTCATAAAAGAAGAGACTTTAAGCATGACTAGCGGGAGGAAGAGGGACAGAGGAGGAAGAATGGACCAACAGAATGCACTTAGAGCTGGGTGTGGGTACAGAGTCCATGAAAGGACTCTGGCCAGCCCGAGCATGGCCAACAAGGCTCCGGCAGGCCTTGCTCTTCTCCCCATTCCCTCTGCCTTACTAAAAACTATTACAGTCCTAAAGCTAGCCACCAAGGTCCATTACCTTATATGGCCACGTCTTCCTCTTGAAGCTGACTACCCAGGTCCACCTATCAAATTGCTAAAGTCCAGCAATCAAAAATTCCCCTTGGGGCTGGAGAGATGGCTCAGTGGTTACAAGCCCTGTCTTGTACCAGCTCTTCCAAAGGACCCGAGTTCAACTCCCAGCACCCACATGGCAGCTCACAACTATCTGTGACTCCAGTTCCAGGTGCACAGAAAAATAAAATTAAAGAAATTAACAAAAAGGTTCCCTTCAGCTTACCTAAATAACATGCCCGGACCTCATGAAACTGAAAAGCTTCTGTAAAGCAAAGGACACCATCATCAAAACAAAACGACTGCCTACAGATTGGGAAAGAATCTTCACTAACCCTTTATCTGACAGAGGACTAATATCGAGTATATACAAAGAACTAAAGAAGCTGAAAAGCAGCAAACCAAGTAATCCAATTAAAAAATGGGGAACAGAGCTAAACAGAGAATTCTCGACAGAGGAATATCGAATGGCAGAGAAACACTTAAAGAAATGTTCAACCTCATTAGCCATTAGGGAAATGCAAATCAAAAAGACCCTGAGATTTCACCTTACACCCATCAGAATGGCCAAGATGAAAAACTCAAGTGACAACACATGCTGGAGAGGTTGTGAAGAAAGGGGAACCCTCCTTCACTGCTGGTAGGAATGTAAACTGGTACAACCATTTTGGAAATCTATCTGGCGCTTTCTCAGACAATTAGGAATAGTGCTTCCTCAAGACCCAGCTATACCACTGCTAGGTATATACCCAAACTTTGCTCAAGTACACAAAAGGGATACTTGCTCAACCATGTTTGTAGCAGCTTTATTTGTAATAGCCAGAACCTGGAAACAACCCAGGTGTCCATCAAAGGAGGAATGGATACAGAAATTGTGGTATTTTTACACAATGGAATACTACTCAGCAATCAAAAAGGAGGAAATCATGAAATTTGCAGGCAAATGGTGGGATCTAGAAAAGATCATTCTGAGTGAAATATCTCAGAAGGAAAAAGACAAACACGGTATATACTCACTTATATAGACCTATAAGATATGATAAACATAATGAAATCTATATACCTAAAAAAGATAATCAAGAGAGCAGACATGGGGTAAGATGATCAATCCTCATTTAGAAAGACAGATGGCAAAATGTAACTAATAAGAAAAATAAAATTTAAAAAAATGAAAAAAAAAAAAAAGACAGACAGACAGATGAGATGTGCATTGAACGTATGACAGGAGTCTACCGCAGAAGGCATCTGAAAGACTCTACCTAGCAGTGTTTTCAAAGCAGATACTAAGACTCATAACCAAACCTTGGTCAGAGTACAGGGAATCATATGAAAGAAGGGGAGTTAGTCTGATGGGGAAAGGATAGGAGCTCCACAAGGACCAAATATATCTGGGCACAGGGTCTTTTCTGAGACTGACATTCAACCAAGGACCATGTATGAATGTAACCTAGAACGTCTGCTCGGATGTAGCCTGTGCTAGCTCAGTAACCAATTGGTTTCCCATAGTAAGGGGAACAGGGACTATCTCTGACATGAACTCAATGGCAGGCTCTTTGACCTCCCCACCCCCCAAGGGAGGAGCAGTCCTGCTAGGCCACAGAAGAGGACTTCCGCAGCCAGTCCTGAAGATACCTGATAAAACAGGGTCAGATGAATGGGGAGGAGGTCCCCCCTATCAGTGGACTTGGAAAGGGGCAGGGTGGAGATGAGGGAGGGTGGGATTGGGAGGGAATGAGGGAACAGGATACAGCTGGGAAACAGAGTTAATAAAATGTAACTGATAAGAAAAAAATAAAATTAAAAAAAAAAGATTTTGAAAAAATAAATAAATAAATAACATGCCCAGTTCAAATTAGTCCATCAGGTAAACGCCTCATCCTACATGGGGCTTCCCCCTTTACTTCTATAAACTGTCATTTGCCTCTGGGCCATGTGTGTCTCTCCTCTCTAACCACAGGCAGTCCTTTGTCACTCCGGGCCAAATACCTCTGCCTCCACTTCCTTGTTCCCTTCTCCTTTTATCTCGAGAGAAATAAAAAGTCCTCTATCTCCTGTCTTTGCCTCTCATTCCCTGGCTGTTTTCCCTCTGAGGCAAAGAAATCTCCTTTGTGCTAAGAACTTGGTCTAGCGGGTGCCCTGTCCTTACTGATCCCTCCGGTCCATTTGAGAGGTCTAGTAATTAACCCTAATGGGCTGAAGCAGTGTTTGCCATGGTCAGTGCACCGATGTGAGGCTAGAGAATGGACGGAGCTAACAAGCTAGAGTTTGGACCTCCCTCCACTAACAAGAACCCTGTGAGAGAAAAGAGAATGACAGGATCTTATTTACACTTTGGAAAGGCCGTTCCAGATGCAGAGTAGATAACGGGTTGGAGGTGGGAGGTTTAGCATGAAGGGTGTTGCACTGTGTCAGAACTGGCTTTTCCTTAATAGGAAAAACTGGGAGGCTG